AAAGAAAGAAAGAAAGAAAGAAAGAAAGATATGCCTGCAATTAGAAAGAAAGAAAGAAAGAAAGAAAGAAAGAAAGAAAGAAAGAAAGAACTCAGAGCTGCTAGAAAGAAAGAAAGAAAGAAAGAAAGAAAGAAAGAAAGAAAGAAAGAAAGAACAGTCAATAGAAAGAAAGAAAGAAAGAAAGAAAGAAAGAAAGAAAGAAAGAAAGATGAATTAAGCAACAGAAAGAAAGAAAGAAAGAAAGAAAGAAAGAAAGAAAGAAAGAAAGATAACATGTCTCATAGAAAGAAAGAAAGAAAGAAAGAAAGAAAGAAAGAAAGAAAGAAAGAACAAACTCGCTTTAGAAAGAAAGAAAGAAAGAAAGAAAGAAAGAAAGAAAGAAAGAAAGAACCCTTGGCCTCGAGAAAGAAAGAAAGAAAGAAAGAAAGAAAGAAAGAAAGAAAGAAAGAAGACAAACATTTGAGAAAGAAAGAAAGAAAGAAAGAAAGAAAGAAAGAAAGAAAGAAAGAACCTACAGAGAGTAGAAAGAAAGAAAGAAAGAAAGAAAGAAAGAAAGAAAGAAAGAAAGAAAACTCGGATAATAGAAAGAAAGAAAGAAAGAAAGAAAGAAAGAAAGAAAGAAAGAAAGACCTGTCGCCTCTGAGAAAGAAAGAAAGAAAGAAAGAAAGAAAGAAAGAAAGAAAGAAAGACCAAAGAGTTTTTAGAAAGAAAGAAAGAAAGAAAGAAAGAAAGAAAGAAAGAAAGAAAGAAGCTAAGAGCAGAAGAAAGAAAGAAAGAAAGAAAGAAAGAAAGAAAGAAAGAAAGAAAGAGTACAAGAGAGAAAGAAAGAAAGAAAGAAAGAAAGAAAGAAAGAAAGAAAGAAAGAAAGATCCCCTACACCCAAGAAAGAAAGAAAGAAAGAAAGAAAGAAAGAAAGAAAGAAAGAAAGATTTCTTCTCTCCTAGAAAGAAAGAAAGAAAGAAAGAAAGAAAGAAAGAAAGAAAGAAAGAGATTCAGCAACACAGAAAGAAAGAAAGAAAGAAAGAAAGAAAGAAAGAAAGAAAGAAAGACCCTTTCAGCATTAGAAAGAAAGAAAGAAAGAAAGAAAGAAAGAAAGAAAGAAAGAAAGAGACCAGGACATCTAGAAAGAAAGAAAGAAAGAAAGAAAGAAAGAAAGAAAGAAAGAAAGAGGAATGTTTGCATAGAAAGAAAGAAAGAAAGAAAGAAAGAAAGAAAGAAAGAAAGAAAGATTGCTGATGTGAAAGAAAGAAAGAAAGAAAGAAAGAAAGAAAGAAAGAAAGAAAGAAAGACTACAATCTTCAAAGAAAGAAAGAAAGAAAGAAAGAAAGAAAGAAAGAAAGAAAGAAAGAGGCTAATTAGACTAGAAAGAAAGAAAGAAAGAAAGAAAGAAAGAAAGAAAGAAAGAAAGACTAGGTTCCTGCTAGAAAGAAAGAAAGAAAGAAAGAAAGAAAGAAAGAAAGAAAGAAAGAAGAGTTCAAATTCAGAAAGAAAGAAAGAAAGAAAGAAAGAAAGAAAGAAAGAAAGAAAGAGGTAGATAACCTTAGAAAGAAAGAAAGAAAGAAAGAAAGAAAGAAAGAAAGAAAGAAAGATGGTCATCTCCAGAGAAAGAAAGAAAGAAAGAAAGAAAGAAAGAAAGAAAGAAAGAAAGACTCTTTTAGCTCAAGAAAGAAAGAAAGAAAGAAAGAAAGAAAGAAAGAAAGAAAGAAAGATCTTGGTCCTGTGAGAAAGAAAGAAAGAAAGAAAGAAAGAAAGAAAGAAAGAAAGAAAGACCTCACTCACATGAGAAAGAAAGAAAGAAAGAAAGAAAGAAAGAAAGAAAGAAAGAAAGAATGCTCTTCTCATAGAAAGAAAGAAAGAAAGAAAGAAAGAAAGAAAGAAAGAAAGAAAGACCAGGAATACTTGAGAAAGAAAGAAAGAAAGAAAGAAAGAAAGAAAGAAAGAAAGAAAGAAATTGTAGTCCTCAGAAAGAAAGAAAGAAAGAAAGAAAGAAAGAAAGAAAGAAAGAAAGACATGGGGACAGTTAGAAAGAAAGAAAGAAAGAAAGAAAGAAAGAAAGAAAGAAAGAAAGAATGGTTTTTCTCCAGAAAGAAAGAAAGAAAGAAAGAAAGAAAGAAAGAAAGAAAGAAAGACTGCTTCCCTTTCAGAAAGAAAGAAAGAAAGAAAGAAAGAAAGAAAGAAAGAAAGAAAGATGAGTCAATTAAAAGAAAGAAAGAAAGAAAGAAAGAAAGAAAGAAAGAAAGAAAGAAAGACAATGTGAAAGTGAGAAAGAAAGAAAGAAAGAAAGAAAGAAAGAAAGAAAGAAAGAAAGACACTTGTGTCAGAAGAAAGAAAGAAAGAAAGAAAGAAAGAAAGAAAGAAAGAAAGAAAGAACTCACTGTCCAGAGAAAGAAAGAAAGAAAGAAAGAAAGAAAGAAAGAAAGAAAGAAAGAGTTCAGCTAATGCAGAAAGAAAGAAAGAAAGAAAGAAAGAAAGAAAGAAAGAAAGAAAGAAATCAACCCAA